ATCTTGCACGACGTCGTCTTCTATCTTGCAAACTCGCTCCCGGATCCATCATCTTCGCTCTGATACCACTTGTTGGGGAATTTCAGTCTCCCCGCCTACCACGATATGCGCAACTCGGAACCAACCCCAATCAATAAGATAGAACAACCACAATCAAGAAAAAAGAAAACCGAGATTTACGTGGTTCGGTCGACCAACTTCGACCTACGTCCACGGGGCAATAATATGAGAAATTCACTATGTATCAGGAGAACTACAAGAGGAACCACTCAACTCTCGTCTCTCAATCTCTCAACCTCACATATATAATCAACTCTCATATTCTCTCCAAAGCCCACTCCTTGTAATCTTTTGCACGGATAAAGACTACGAAACCCTCTCTCTCTCTCTCTCTCTCTCTCATCTACTACATCTCTACTTTTTCTTCATGGTTTTTTCTCCACCAATAGAAGAATATATAGGGAAACCAAAACCCTATCTTTAGCCTAACTTCCTAATTAGAATAGGATTCAAACTCCTAATCATGATAAAACCCAAACTCCTAATCATGATAGAACTCAAACTCCTAATCATAATAGAACCCAAACTCTTAATTATGATAGAACTCTAACCCTATCTAATTCTCATGAAGTTACACAGAGAATCAAAGATAAAATCCCAGCAGATGGGAGGTTGAAGAACGGGATGAGAAAAGAATGGAGAAGATGGTGGGAAGGAGGATGGAGGAGATCGTCGGAAGAGGGGGGAGAGAGAGAGATTTTTTATTACATATTTTAAAACTTGAAGAGATAAATCTGAAAATATGAGAGAGTGATGAGTTTATATGCAAAAATCTATTAATTTTTCGCTTAAAAATTATCTTTAGTCCGGAGATGCCTTTTTGTCATTATATTTATCACTTTTTAGACTAAACTATCACCAGCTTTACTTTTTTGGCTAAACTGATAAGGGTGTCACTTTTGATACTAATATGATATTTTAGCTGTAAATTTTTTTATTTTTCACATGGTAAATAAATAGAAAATTAACATTTCATCACCAACTTCAAAATTTGGAAAAGAAAGACTAGAAATACGATTTTTGATGTAATATATTCTGTAATAAAAAAAATGACGGCTTACAGAGGAATCCTGCACTTTGAGGAAAATCTCATCATAATCGCTGCTGATTTTAGGTCCTTGGCATTGATTCAATTTAGTATTTCCTGACACCAATAATTAACTGTAAACAGCATCTTATTTCATTGTCACCAACTTGAAATTCTTCTAAAAATTCCCAGGTTTGGTCTATCTAAAAAGTAAGAACAAGCCAAGGATTTCAATGTTCTCTCTCGAGAAGAGAGAGAAAAGTTTATAATATGACCTCTAGATTATATTGATACTGAAAGACACAAAATTATTGGATATTTCCTTGTGAAATTTTCATTAAGGATCCGCATGTTCATATTTTTGAAAGATACTTGTGTTTTTAGTATCAAGAATACAATTTATTGTATAATCAACACTAGCCATTTGAACATGTTGTACTTTTTCCTAGTTGAATATGACACGTTTTAAGTACCTAGGTAATGTATATGTCATTTTCTGAGTTCTAACTTTACCTCAGGCCGACTATTAAAGAAGAGGAGCAAATCCACTCTATGTAAAGTGGTATTACGTGACATCATTTTGTTCCGAAGCCCACTTCTAAGTTGTCTAGGAGAAGGAGAATGAGTATTTGTAGCATTTCTTTTTTCTCGATTGTTTTTCATGAAAACACTTGGCACAGATATTGAATTACCAATTGTTTATTACTCAATTGTTTTTATCTTTTCCATCTACCTTTTTATTGCATCTGGCTTTTTATTGTATGGTAAGGGAATTTCTAGTATTTAAATTTACTAGTATGTACCCCGTGCCAAGCACGGCTCTCGCCTTTTTTCTATCATTGCACTTGAAACACCCCTCCTCTTAGTTTTAGTTACATATTATTATTGTACAATTAAAATTATAAAGCATATTAAACTTTATGTTTAAACAAATTTCCCATATGACACATGAAGTTACTATAAATTATTCCCTTGTGCTGGTAGGCACACGTGTCTATTGTGACTAATTGCCTAGTTAATCGAGAGTAATGGTTGAGTTTCTGATTCTTGAACTTGAAAGTATAACACTTTGATTCTTAGGAGATTGATGGCTCGAAACACAAACATCTAACTGTCCTAAAGATGACATACAACGTGGCAACTGATGAGTTAGTTGAAGTCATTAAGGATAAAAGACTGCGACATCAGGTTTCAAAGTCATGGCTCCAAAGAACACTGCTAATGAGATTGCATTTTCCGCAATAAGACGTAGGTTTCAAAGTCATGGCTCCAAAGAACACTGCTAATGAGATTGCATTTTCCGCAATAAGACGTAGCATCAACAATCATTTAACATTAGTCGCAAAATATAAAAGAGACAGATCTGGATATACTTAGTTATTAATGTAACCAAATTGCAAGGAATAGGCCAAAGCTGGAAGAAGAAAATCTGAAATTTTAAATTTTATATATGTAGGAATTATATTAGAAAAGGAACAACATTAAAAGACATAGTTGTTAATTAAGAACATAGTTAAATAAAAGTTGTTATGATATTATTATTCTAAGAGTAATAAGAAACCATGGGTATCTAAATATTCGATTCATTCTAATTTTAACTTCTACTTGGAAAACAACATAAACCTGATTTGAGAAGGATGCGGCTAGATTGATGAGAAGACCATGAAGCCTAAAAACCGAAACCTGGCCAACAAAAAAAGGAATAACATTCATATGAGAATAAAATTAGCACATAAATTATGGCAAAAGAATATAAAATTATGACATATATATCAGTTTATATGCTCAAGGTTCCTAAAAGAAAAAATGGAATATAAAGGATTTTAATACTTAGTAAACAAAAAGATTACAATAACAAATGAAATGAAACCTCCAAATAATTAGCAATATTTCTTCCTCCTATTACATGGTTTTCTTCTGAGGATTGCTTTTGTGAGGTCTTTGATTTCTGAGAAGCTCGGCTACATATTAAAGGATAAAGAGTTGAAACAATTGAGATTGTCATGAGAGAGTTGGAAAAAAAAGCTCGGCTACATATTAAAGGATAAAGAGTTGAAACAATTGAGATTGTCATGAGAGAGTTGGAAAAAAAACAACTGACATAGTCAATCAAATTGCATATAAATTTTTTGTGATATTCAAACTTCATAACTGATGAAATTGATCAAAAAGGATTCCTATTAAGAAATTAAATCAATGTTGAAGATAGAAACAAAGGAGAACAATCATGGACATGATTTGCAGCACCTTCTTGAATTAAAATGCATTGAAACTACTAATGAGGAACAATCTTAGTTTTTGAAAGAGAAATTTTCCACATTAATGAGTAAAAACCTTAGTTCTTTAAGGATCAGTCACTCCGATGGGATGAGGAATTATGACTATATATATTTTCATGTCGATACGTTTTGACTTTCCTTTCAACATCTCTATTTATACTACAAAATCTTGGCATACGACCAACGAAAACTCAATTATTCACAGCCATCATTTAATAGTTAAAATCAATAGATTAGACAATGTGATACATGAAAATATAAGGTAACTTCATGATAATTGTATCTTTTTATTATTGTAAATTGAATTGTCAAATTCAATTTTAATTCTTCTTTCAGTGCACTCACATTTTGTGCACTACAAAATTCCTTTTGAGCATGTCTAAGTAATTCGACTATGATGAAGTTTTAGTATCTTTTAGCACCAAGATGTTAGAATTTACAAACCACTAAATTAGAAATAATAAAAATTAAAATAAAGGTGCCTAAAATAGTTACAATGAGATCATCATTCTCGCCCATCTTAATAAGTATAAATGTATCTATTTATTTAGAAATAGGATTGAATATTCTTCTTAAAATTCCCAGGTTTGGTCTATCTAAAAAGTAAGAACAAGCTAAGGATTTCAATGTTCTCTCTCGAGAAGAGAGGGAAAGGTTTATAATATGACCCCTAGATTATATTGATACAGAAAGACACAAAATTATTGGATATTTCCTTGTGAAATTTTCATAAAGGATCCGCATGTTCATATTTTTGAAAGATACTTGTGTTTTTAGTATCAAGAATACAAGTTATTGTATAATCAACACTAGCCATTTGAACATATTGTACTTTTTCGTAGTTGAATATGACGCGTTTTAAGTACCTAGGTAATGCATATGTCATTTTCTGAGTTCTAACTCTACCTCAGGCCGAACAATTAAAGACGAGGAGCAGATCCACTCCATGTAAAGTGGTATTACATGACAATATTTTGTCCCGAAACCCACTTCTAAGTTGTCTAGGAGAAGGAGAATGAGTATTTGTAGCATTTCTTTTTTCTCGATTGTTTTTTCCATGAAAACACTTGGCACATATATTGAATTACCAATTGTTCATTACTCAATTGCTTTTATCTTTTCCATCTAGCTTTTTATTGCATCTGGCTTTTTATTGTATGGTGAGGGAATTTCTAGTATTTAAATTTATTAGTTTTCTTCAGATAGGAGAAAAATCAACCTATTTAGTTGATAGGGTGACAGGATTTGATAGTGTATTTGAAGCTGCACTCGGATCAAATTAGATTATATTAGTAGTGACGCATTTTATGTTACTAATATAATTATATACTTGGACCCAGACATGATAGTGAATTTGATAGCATTACTACTAATATAATTATGTACTTTTTCAAAATATGAAAACTCCATGATTTCCTCAATGTTCTACTTTTTACCCGCGTATTGTGGAAGAAATAAAGGGAAAGGGAGCCAAGGGAATGAAACTACATGCGAAACTCCACATTTCAAAGAAAAACATCAGAGTACCGCAGGCATCCTCATCGTAAAAGGACTGTACTGAGTGCATGAAAAATTGAAGGGAAGAGAACAATGGCGAACGAAACTACATGCGAAACTTCGCATTTCAAAGAAAATCATCGAAGTATTGCAGGCATCCTCATCATATAAGGACTATACTGAGTATGAAAAATTGAAGAAGCAATAAATATGTGCTTTCTCATCCATGTTCTCAAAAGTAAAAGCTGCAGAGGGACGTAGCCATTAAATTTACAAAAAGAATTTCTTTGGCTACTTTAGCTTTTATCAGCAACTTTGAAAGGTTCTCTTACGGTACTACCAGTTGTGGAAGATCGTTCTTCACTCTTCTGCTGCTTCTTTTTCTCCCTCAGGCCATCAAGCTGCAATCAAGCTCCAGTCAAATGAAATGATCACAGTGGAAACTTTATTGCAAAAATTAAAGTTATACTTTAATTGTTGTGAGAACACGTGTTGATCAATAATTCTGTCTGGTTGAAAGGCAGTGGCTCGCTTCTTCACCTTGACTGCACGCTCTGAGCTCATGAACACTGTAGCCAAATTTGAATAACTTCTGAAATACTTGCCCATAGATAAGTTCTCTACATTGTCATAGTACAAGATTATGTAAAATGCAATGGTACATAACATTATGGCGCCAACAAGATTATGTAAAATGCAATGGTACAGAACATTATGGGGCCTATAATACCCAAGCACGGAAAACTGGCTCAAAATAATTTATCCAACAAAACCTATGATACAATCATTTCGTCAACTTTGCTCACAGCAGCTAATGTCGATGAAACTATATGCAAAGAGCCGGTGACCACAATCAGGCGTGACTTATCTCTGTCTCTGAATTTAAGCAACTGGTCAGCAATTTTTATTGAATCACATACCGAAAGATTCTGGCATGATGCCAAGATTATTATTTTGTTATCTCTTGATGCCGGTGTACAACTGATAAGCTTATTAAGGTTATTCTCTTCATCAATCACTCCAAAGTCCATAAAATCCAAACATAAATCTGCTGCAGTCCTCCTCCAGGCATCTTTTAATATTGAAGCTGGAGTAGCACGAGATTTGCCTCCTGCAATGCTCACCTCGGTCAGAAGAACTATCTCTGGTCTCGGACCTGTGAGACACAGGATCAGGGTTATTGGAGAAGTTGAACATGCATACATAAAATGAAGTGTGATTTTCTAAAATGGGGACTCCATATTATAAATCATTGTTAATACAGAAATTATTATAAGGATAACCATCTATTCCCATTTTATCAGCTCTTTTTGTCATTTTATGGGCCAATTATATCACTAGTGTTTGGGAATTTTAAACTTCCTTAGGCCTATGTGATGAAATTACATGCAGTGAAAGCCCTGTGTTGTCCAACTCTGACATGTATCCAACACAGAAATGTATCAAGATACTTCGACTGTGTTAGCCATATCACCTATAGAAAATATTAATTTTGTTTTTAAATAGAGTTCTTTGGTATAGTTGGATTTCGTCTTTTTTCTGGTCATGGCCTCAAGTTTCCACGGATTATATGACTTGAAGATGTAGGATCATCAACACTTTCACTAAATACCATGCTTGACGGCAACATGTAAACAACACAGAAATGTATCAAGATACTTCAACTGTGTTAGCCATATCACCTACAGAAAATATTATTTTTGTTTTTAAATAGAGTTCTTTTGTATAGTTGGATTTCGGTTTTGTATAGTTGGATTTCGTCTTTTTTCTGGTTATGGCCTCAAGTTTCCACGGATTATATGACTTGAAGATGTAGGATCATCAACACTTTCACTAAATACCATGCTTGACGGCAACTAAGGTAAGTTATCATGTGCTTCAAAGGTGGCATGTTCCGGATTTGCCCTTATGTATCTACATATATATTCTATGTTACTGTCTTCCCTCCCTACTTTTGATTTTATTTTAGACCTTTTGTTAGGGGGGCATAGTGCATACGGTTCAGATATGGCTCTGGTATCATAGTTACCATAGCTTTAGCCTCTTGCCAATCACGAATACGTATACATATATGCCATGGTAAGGAAAATTCATACCCAAATCCGCTAAAATCAGATATAGATATAAATATACATGCAGATATATAAGTGGATATACATTCAGATACAAAATGGATATGAGAAAACAAGATAATATTGAATAACATAATTCATATGATACAAGAGAATTCAATAATATGTTCGTTATATCTGAAAAAGCAAAGATTAGATCTCTAGATCATTAAAATTAACCTAAAATCCATTAATCTACAGATTAAAACTATTACAACTGTATGACCAACGTATAATTGGATATTTCCAATACGGATCTGGATACTTCACCGCAAATTTGTGTCCATATCCGTAACCATATCTTATTGAATATAGATTTTAGTAACCATATACGCTAACTAACGGACACAGAAATTTTTGCACACCCCTCCTTTTCGTCTAGGCATACCATCATCAGTAATTTTAATTTCCAGTAGTGATTGTATTTTTCTACAGTTTTGAAAATTCATGATAGTTTTCTCTAATAAAAAATTATGGTAGGTTTTGCAAGACCAGCAAATTTCATGGTAATTTTGTGAATTTTACCCTAATTTATATTACACATGCATAAACATAAAATATATGTCTACGATATATCCTCCTAGGTATTTAAATTTTTGCCAATCTTGCCTCTCCGAACATAGTTGAGAGTACAAATCTTTTGAGTAAATGCTGAAAAGAGAAAACAATGTAGACAAAAATGAGATGCAAGTCCTTCACGTTTGATTATTCTACTTTCATGTGCTAAAGACATCGGTGATGAGTTAGAAGCGAAATAACTTTTCTCTAGGAAATTTTGTCTCGCTTCCTCTAATAAAATTTACTAGGCAACATCGAATCTGTCTTCCCCACCTTCTGTTCATTTGAAATGGAGATTGGAACGCAATAACGCAGGGTAAGGCTCCCAATTGTAATACCAAAATTTTGGAACTTGACAAAGATAATACCTAAACCCACGTTTAACAAATAAACCTATTATCTTAGAAAATCTCTAACTATCTAACAACCTTATCTCTTTAAAATCCCTATCCATCTCCTCTACATTTTCTTCACTTTAACTCCCGGAAAAAAAAAAACAAATGAAGAGGGAAAAAAAGGAGAGATGACCGAGAAAAAAAAGAAATTTAGAGGATCGGGTACTCAAGCACAGGGAACGAATAGAAATTTTAAGTTCAGAGTTCAAATTATTCATCGGTAAGCATTTTCTTATCCTTCAACTCTTTTATTTTCATGATCTCCTTATCTAAATACTCGTATTTCTTCGTAGATAATCATGAGGAATAGATTGTAGTTAGTTTTTATATATTTTTAACTACGATGCTGTAGGAAAAAATCTTGACACCTTATGAAAGCATTTCTTAACCTGAACTCTTTTATTTTCATAATTACCTTATCCAATTACTAGTATTCTCCTCCTAGAGTTATGACAATTAATTTGTAGATAGTTTTTATTACATTATTTTTCGAAACTATTTTATTTCGGTGAGTATAGTTTTGTTAATAATAATAATAATAATAATAATAATAATAAGTAATTTTAAAGATTTCTAATTTTTTTAAGATTATAGTTATGACAGAATAGTTTTAATTATTTACTGCGATCAATTTTTCACAAATTAGTGGTTAGAGTTGTGGTTAGGTGACTTGGTTATTAGCTCTTAGGTCTTGAGTTCAAATCTTTTGCCCTTCATTTTTTTCCCAAAGCCATTTGGGTCTGTTGCGAACTCAAACCCAACCCAGTTAGAATCCAATATCAAATTTCAGACACGTAATTCAAATCACAAACTTGTTTGACCCAGACAAGATCCAATATCAAATTTCAGACCTGTTTGGGTTTATAATTCAAATTTCAGACCCGTTTGACCCATTTAGGATCCAATATCAAAATCTAGATTCGTTTGGACTTATGACTCAAATTTTAGATCTGTTTGGACCTTTTGCTCACTAAAAAAATCAAGCTTGTCAATCTTTAAGCCATTAAAACCAAACCGGTTGACTTTTTCTAACACTAAATAATTATGTTAATTATTTATCTTTGCCTTTTTGATAAGTAAAGATATGTCATTTGATGATGAATACCTGATGCCATGTTTGATCACTTAGTGACATTTAATAGGTCGATTATGCATGAAGACGACTTCCGTCAAAAATATGATTCATAAGCGTGCTATCATAACATGACTATACCAATAGCATGGTTATACCCTCGATATCGATATCCTGGTGTGAGGAGTTTCACTTGATTATTACTATTATATAATAGCATCAATTAGACAATGCATCCATCCTGATTGGGCATGTTATGGTCACGGTTAGTTTTCATAGTTTTACAGAAATCGTTCCACGAAAACTCTGTAGTTAATGAATAATATTTCATGCACAACCACTTAAAATCAACAGATAAATGTGGGTTTTATAAATGAGAATTGGACGAAGAATATAACGCGTACATAAGCGGGTTCATGCGCATTCTTGACATCTTAAATTATATATAAAGGCCAAGGGCCAATACTTGACTTGGAAGTCGTGTTCCCAGGACGGTTTACGGGAACCCGATTTATATGTATGATACTATTCTCATCTAATTCAAATAACATGTAAAATAATAATTATAATAATAATGTGCTTGTATGTTTTGTGATAGACTTATTCTTAATATCTACAAGTAGTATCTCATTTAGTCACCGTTAATTTAGATTTCATCTTTTCTTTATATCTGTCATATATACTTACACGCGCACAATTTTTTCATTTTACATGCTTGTTGGGAGTTTTCTGACTCCTTGGAGGTTCACGCGCCCCAGACTCAGGGACCATCCTTTCTTTGCAGGCCGAGAGTATTTTAAGGAATAGGCTCAGCGACAGTGATCACCGTTTATCCTATCAATTCTCTAGTTCATTTGTCTTAGGTAGTTATTTAACTAAGACTTTTCCTGTAACCACGTGGTTCTCTAGACTATGATGTATTCTTTTCTCTTTCCTACTTTGGATAGTTGTGGAGTTATAGTAGAACTCTATCTTTCCAGATATTTTTTTTATCTATTTTCTTTGTTACCTTAGTTACATGCTCTATGTTGTAGTACTTTTTGGTAATATATCTATATACAAGATGATCTAAAGGCATGAATGTGACTGTATGGTTGTATTGTCGGCCGGGTCACGTTCCAAACTATTACGCTTTTGAACTAGGGCGTGATAAGATTTTTTTATTGGTATCAGAGACAGGCTAGATAATTGTTGCCTCATCCTGTATATTAAAAAAACTAAGATTAGGCCAAAAACAGAGCATGTATAGAATAAGTTCTTTCCTATCCAAAAGTACATCATTTGACTCATAATACCCTGATTCTTAAATCCTAATCTTAACCAATCCAATTTCAGATGATTACTATGGCCCCAAAATGTCGGCCCCCTACTCCAGTTGTCCCTGAGGGACACCAAATCGATCATGCTGATCTTACAGAAGCAATTAGGGAGCTGGTAGCTCATAATCGCCAGAGGGATAGACACCACCAGGCTGCAACGTCGGGTAATGTGTCCGGTTTTCGGAAGCTCAACCCGCTATACTTTGCTGGGACTGAAGGAGGATATGAGGCTAAGATGTGGTTGCAGACCATGGACTGCATATTGAGGGCGACAAAGATACTAGATAAAAACTGAGTTGATATTGTACAGCTGCAACTCGTTAATGTAGCCAGAACCTGGTGGGATGTAGAGGAGAAGCTTCCTAAGCCAATTTCATGGGAGACATTCCGGGAGAGCTTTCTAGAGACATTTTTCCCCGAAGACAGCTCGTCTTAAGATACAGAGACAGTTTGTTATGCTGAGACAGAGAGCTAGTATTGTAGATGAATATGCAACAAAATTTGCCAAACTCAGTAGGGTTACCCCAGGGATGGTGTCGAATGAGGCGGATAAGGGACAAAGGTTCATGCATGGTCCAAATTTTGAGATCCAGACATAGATCTATAGTCAGAAGGGAATTGAGACTTATGCTGACGTCTTAGAGGCTGCTCGAAAAGCAGAACAATTGATTGAGATTACGAACTTAGTGAATAGAGGGGCT